TGCATTTCCCAGAATTTTTTCTAATTTCCATCAAAAAATATTTACTTTTTTTTCTATCTTGAAAATAATTTTAATTCCAAATTTTTCTGAAATTCAACTATTTATTTATTTTCCAAATTTTTATTAGAATTCTTCAGAAAAACGATTATATTCAAAAAATTATTTTGAAAAGTAAAAAAAAGAATTCTTGTAAAATGTTGTACAAATTACATTTGACTAAATTTCCAATGGAAATGTAATTGTTTGTTTTTTTAATTTTTAACGAAAAATTGAAAATAATTGAATTTCAGCAAAAAATTTTATTATTTTTTCAAATAATTGAATTCTTGAGAAAAGTTTTTTATTACAATAATTTTTGGAAATAATTTAATTCCTGAAACAAATTTTATTATTTAAAAATAATTGAATTTCATTATTAATGAAAATAATTGAATTCTTGCGAAAAATTTTCTTAAAATTTTTGAAAATAATTGATTCGTTTTTAACAAATTTATTAAAATTTGTTAGAAATACAGTTATCTCTCGATAATTATATTTTCAATAAATTTAAGTTCGTTTTAAATAAAAAAATTTGATACTCCAAACATTCGATAAAAAAAAACATCAAGAAGAGAAAAAAAAGGAAGTGAGAAATTTTCTATATTCGCAAAGAAATTACTCTAATCAAAATCTCATTTCCAGAAGGAAAAAAAAAAGAAATCACATTTTCACCACCACACATGTGTACGTTTGGTGAGATTTTTTCCTTGACTTTTGTTTTTCTTTGAGAAGTGGTCTGAGAAAAAGTTGCTTTAAAAATTGAAAACTCTCCGCATACGAGTCTCAAGGAGAAAAATAACTTTCGTATTGAAATGAGGACCAAAGTAGTTTCACTACTACGCTTCTCTCGTGTTTTGATGCTACTTTTTCACTCAAGTTACTGGGCGCATTTACATCTCCATTTACCCAGAAATGGATGGCCATTGCAAAACCAAAAGAGACTAGACTTTAGTTTACAAAGTTTTGCCTCTCATGAGCCTATAGCTATTACCACGAAAGACGACATTTATGACTTTAACTTTTCGCGTTAAAACAATAATAATCGCCCTTTGCCTCCGCATTCTATCACCATATGTTCGACAATAGTTTCAATTCAATGACCGAAAATTCACCTCTATTTTCACCTTTCAACCATTTCTCTCCTACTCCACAAACTACTTTTGTGGTTGCATTGAAGGAGAATTTATTTTATTCAAATAAACGATTATAGTTTGTAAAATCAAATAAATATTTACTTGGAACGAATAATTTTTATTTAAATCAGATAAACTGTATTTGAACAAATAATTTTAATATTTGCAGCAAATTCCTTTTACGTGGAGAAAATTTATTTCATACGAATGAAAATTATTTGATCCAAATAAATATTTACTCGATAAAAATAAATATTTATTTTACAGTGAATACAAATAAAAATTATTTTAAACAAAAAAATTATTTGATACACAAACATTATTTGATACAAAAAAAATATATTAGGTACAAAAAAATTATTTGATACAAAACAATTATTTGATACAAAAAAATTATTTGATGCAAAAAAATTATTTGATACAAAAAAATTATTTGATGCAAAAAAATTATTTGATACAAAAAAATTATTTAATAGAAATAAAAAATTATTTAACTTTGATAAAAACAAAAATTATTTGATACAAAACAAAATATATGAATGCAAACAAAAAATTATTTCATATTGAAAAAAAACAAAAATTATTTGATATACAAACAAATAAAAACCCTTTGAAACAGATCAAAATTATCTGATACAAAAGAAAAATTTTTAAATATAAACAAAAAATTATATCATATGAAAAAAAATTATTTGAATACAATCAAAAAATTATTTCTTATTGAGAAAAACAAATTATTTGATATACAAAGCAAAATTATTTTTGATACAAAAAAAATATTTATTTGATGCAAATAGAAAATTACTTGTTACAAATAAATATTTATTTAATAAAAACAAAAATTATTTTCATTTGACACAAATAAGAATTATTTGATTTTTAGACAAAAACAAAAATTATTTGATACAAATAAAAATTATTTGATTTTTATACAAAAAGAAAAATTATTTCATACAAATAAAAAATTATTTCATACAAATAAAAAAAAATTATCTGATACAAAACAAAACTTTCTGAATATAAACAACAAATTATTTTATATTGAAAAAAAAATTTATTTTAATGCAAACAAAAAATTATTTCTTTTTGAAAAAAAACAAATTGTTTTGATAAAAAGAAAAATTCTTTGTTACAAAACAAAATTATCTGTTGCCAATAAAAAATATTTGATATAAAATAAAATTTTCGATACAAAAAAATATTTATCTGATGCAAATAAAAAATTACTTGATACAAATAAATATTTATTTTATGTAAATAAAAAATATTTATTACAATTAAAAGTTGCTTGATAGAAAATAAAATTATTTTATACCAAATTTCTTGTAACAAATAAATATTTATTTAATAAAAACAAAAATTATTTTGATTTTGACACAAATGAAAATTATTTGATTTTGACACAAAAACAAAAATTATTTGATACAAATAAATATTTATTTAATAAAAACAAAAATGTTTTTGATTTGACACAAATAAAAATTATTTGATACAAAAAAATAATTTAAAAGACTCAATAAATATTTGTTACAAATAAATATTTATTTGATAACTATTAAGTAATCGTTTATTTGAATCAAATAATTTTTTATCAGCGTTTATTTCAATAGAATAAATAAATAAATATTTAATTAAAATAAAATATTTGTTCGTTCAATTGTTCATTATAAATACCTATGTTTTGAAGTATAATAATTAACAATATTGAAATAAATTAATTAACTGTTTATTATTTCATTTACAAGTATTTCGATGAGAATATATATACTTTTTATAATCAAGTGTTCAAATATCAAACTCACTGGAAATGAGTTTTTGAAAGTTAATTTATAAATCAATGGAGGAAGTTCTCTGTATTTAAATTTATATATACAAAACAAAATTTAAATGATATTTATCGGAATTATAATATTTATTCCATGCGTATACCTATATTAAATAACACTTGATCAAAAGGTATTTATTATTATTTGACATTTAAATGAAAATATACTTTTTCTGATTCACGTTCTTCATTTACGTACGCACGCAGTACGTAAATAAATATAAATATTCAAGTTAAACAAATTCTATTAAAACGAAAATAAACAAAAAAAAGGCAGCACATCTCAATTGGAAAAATTTTCCTGTCCAAGTGGAAATTTAATTAACTCGGAAAAATGAATTCGATAAAAATTATGTTATTTTTAATTAAGCAATATTTTTTTCCATCAGGCAAACCATTTGTTTGAAAGGAAAAACAATTCTTTTTAGATTTAAAAATGTACTGCAATTTTTATTATTAAAACTTTACTACAATTTTTATTATTAAAACTTTACTACAATTTTAATTATTAAAACTTTACTACAATTATTATTATTAAAACTTTACTACAATTATTATTATTAAAACTTTACTACAATTTTAATTATTAAAACTTTACTACAATTCTTATTATTAAAAATTTACTACAACTTTTTTTTATTAAAAGATTTACTATAATTTTTAGTATTAAAACTTTACTACATATTAGTTAAAAATTTACAACTTTTTTTATTAAAAGATTTACTATAATTTTTTTTATTTTAAAAAATTCATTTATTTATGATCGAATTTACATAACATTCAAATAAATTCTTTCTATCAAAAAATTTAGTTTTTATAAATTTGTCTATACAAAAAAATTAATAAAAATTTTTTTTATTTACTTATTATTTATTCTTACAATGAAAAGAAAATTTTCCTTTTGTATTTAAATACTAAATGATCAATTTTGTCTATCAAAGAATTTACCCCACATTTTTTTTTATCAAAAAATTTACTATAAATTTTTCCTCATTAAAAAAAGTAGTCATAAATTATTTTTTAAATTAAAAATTTATTTAAATACCAAAAACGTGCTGAACATGCAATTCCTTACGTAATGTGCAATATTTTTTTTTTCGAGATTAACCCTTCTTAAGCAGGTGGGAAACGATAATCGTCGAGTTTAAACTTAAGGTCTTGAGAAATCGTTTAGTTGTAAAAACAAAAAAAAAAAAAAAAAAAAGCAAAAAAAAAAGTTTTGTGAAGAAAAATTCTCGAGAAGGGTGCGAATGGTGGTAGTAAAATAAAAGTAGATAGTGGTGGATACTGATACTGGTGCTCGCATAGTTACGTTCGTCGAGGGGGGGGGTTAAAGGGGGTACGCTGCGTATAAATCTAAGCTGTTCTGTTTCTTTATTTACCTCATCTTTTCTCCTAAAGGTTTACCTTAATCTATCTCCATTAAGTATCCTCTTCGCCGTCAGCTTTGCTCTGTTAACACCAGAGGAAACCTTTTCTAAACTGATGTAGAAAGGAGGAAAAACATTAAAGTTTTACGCATGCCAGACATTGAATTTTACATTGAATCCTCTAAACCAATGACTATCACTATCAAAAAGGAAAAAAAAAACTCCTAAAGAGCTTTTCAATAAAGGCGAAAAAGCATTTCTTCCTTGGGGTTTAATTTTTAAAAATTCCCCATTCGCCATGATTTTATTTCCACACTTTTTATTAATTTTGGTTTGGAAACTATTTCTTTCAATTCAGCTATTTACTTATTTTCAATTATTTTATCTATTTATTTTGTTCTCTTCCTTTCTTTTTGTTTTCTTTATTTATTTGCCTTCATTTATTTATTATTTTTATAATATTTTGCAATAAAAAATATTTCGTTTATTTGAACTTTAGAAACTTATGGATCATAAAAAAAAATATAAATTTTAATTAATTTACTATTGAATAAAATTAATAAATAATTAAATTTTCAAGTTTTTATAAATAAATAAATAAATAAATAGTAATCAAAATTTTTCATATTCCAGGCCTTGGCGACCAGTTTCTACTACGAAATTTCTGCGGATCGAAAATATTTGCTCCTAGCATCGGCCTATCAAAAGGTGAGTAATTTCCATACTTTTTCAGTCAATCAAGTTCAAATACTATATTAACTTTTAACAACTCAAATATTTTTTTTATTCAATTAAAAAATTCGTTTCGTTTTATTTTTTCCCCACAATTATAATTCAATTCAATTAAAAATGGGAAATGAAAAAAAAAACGAAAATGGAAAAAAATGAAAAAAAAAATTGAAAACAAAAACAATTAAAAATAAAAACACAATTGAAAATTAAAAAATAAAAAAATTATAAATGAAAAGATTGAAATTGAAAGAGAAATAAAATTTTTAACAGAAATAACATCTTTTATTAATAAACTAGCAAAACTATACGCGCGCGTGAAATTTTCATTACCATTGTTACTTTACAATATTTTTTTGAAATTTAATAAAAATTCTTCATTTTTTAAAAAATATAATTTTTCTACCAGTTTTTCTTTAAATTTAATTATTTGAACAACTCTTTCTGTAGAAATCGCCAAGATTTTTTTAACAACAACTTGAACGTAAGATATTTTTCATTAAATAATTGAACTTTCGAGTACCACTGGAACAATTCATAGTGAAATCGAATAAAATTTGACAAAATTTTCAAATGTTTCAATAATTTTAAAAAAATTTTTTCCGAAATGCAATTATTTATAAAAAATTTTAATTGCATTTTATCAAGAAACAAATTGTTTCGGAATTTCTAAATTAAATTATTGAAACCTTCAATACATTTTGTTAAACAAAAATTTAAATACTTTTTCTTATTTATCATTCAAGAGGAATTAAAAATTTAAATAATTTGAATGAAAAACTTTTTGAAATTTAATTATTTCCAAAATTTACAATAGTGATTCTTTTCCAAAATTCAATTAGTTTTTTTTAGAATTTTTGAATAAAATTATTCAAAACTTTAGGAATTTTTATAGAAAAATAATGTAATTGAAAATTATTTTCTGGAATTCAAGTATATCTTCAAAAAATTTTCATTACTACTATTTTTCAAATAAACCTAATTTTTTCAGAATTTTCTAATTTCTAATATTATTTTACTATGAATCATGAAAAAATACCTGCATATTTTCGATTAGTCAAACAATATTTTTTAAAGAAGAAAAAACAAAAGAATACTTATATAATATATTTTTTTAGAGAATTTCCACTACTTCTAATTCGCTAATTTTCAAAAAAATTTCGAAAAAATCAATTATTTAACAAAATTTTATGCAATTTATTTTTTACAATAATTCAATTATTTAAACTAATAAAATTTTCATAATATTTATTATATTTCGGAAAAATTAATTATTTAAAACAATGTTTATAAAATTCTTATAAAGAATTCAATTATTTTCAAAAATAATAAAGTTATTCTCTGTAATTCAATTATTTTTGAGAATTATAATAAAATTCCTAGCAACTATTCAATTATTTTCATAAGTGATAAAATTCGTAGCAGGATTTCAATTATTTTTAATACAATTTTATCGGAATTTCTCAAAAAATGTAATTATTCTTAAAAACTTCATTTCAATTCCTCGAAAAAATCAATTATTTCAGAAAATGTTTTTTTCATATTTTTTGGAAGGATTGAATAATTATTTTCAAAAATATAGTAAAATTATTCGAAAGAAATTAATTGTTTTAAATACAATTTTAATAAAATTTTTTTGAAATAATTCAATTATTTTTTTAAATTTTAATAAAATTTTTTCTAAGAATTTAATTATTTACACAAATAATATTTCAAAAGAATTCAATTATGTCGATAAATAAGAAAATTACTCCCGAAAATTTAATTAATTTAAGGCATTTTAATAAAATTCTTTGCAAAATTCAATTATTTCCATAAATAACAATATTCATCACAATAATTCAATTATTTTTAAAAGTAATAAATTTCTTCTTGGAAATTCCATTATTTTTAAAAATTCTAATAAATCGTTCGAAAAAGTTCAATTATTTTCATAAATAATAAAATTCTTTGCAAAAATTCAATTTCCTTTTAATTTTTAGTAATATTTTTCGAGAAAATTTATTTATTTTCTAAAATTTTAATAAATCCTTTGAATCAATTTAATTATATTAATAAATAATGAATTCCTTTCCAAAATTTCAATTATTTTCAAAATATTTTTACGAAAGAATTTAATTTTTTCTTAATTAGTTATAAAGAAACTCTATTATTTAAAAAAAAAATGAAAGAAATTCCGCAAAAGAATTTAATTAAGTTTATCAAAAATTTTAATAAAATTCTTGTCAAGAATTTAATTATTTTTACAAATAATAAAATTCTTCGGAGAAATTCAATTATTCTCAAATTTGTTTGATAAAATTCTTTGCAAGAATTCAATGATTTTCAATATCCTATTAATTTTAAAATTCAAAAAAATATTTAAAAAGAAAAATTATTAACTATTATTCTCAATATTGTAATAAGGTTAATATTAAATTATAGACACATACCTTTCGAGTAAATGATGATTATTAAATTTAAAATAACGATACTTATTTGACAATTATAAATATTATAATTTGGGTGAAATCATGCGCTCCTAAATTTTATAAACCTAACCGTTGAAAAGTTTGACATTAAAAAAAAAAATAAAAAATAACAATAACCCACAAATTTTATTACATTTCTTTCAAATAATTGAAATCCTGTGAAGAATTTTATTATTTATGAAAATAATTGAGTTCTTGCAACGAATTTTATTAAATTTTTTTAAATAAATAAATTCTTTTGAGAAATTTTATTAAAATAGTAGATTTTAAAAAAAAATTTGAATTTCAGCGAAAATTTTTATTATTTGTGAAATGTAATTGAATTCTTGCAAAAATATTTGAAAATAATTCCATTTCTCGAGGAATTCATTTAAAATTTTATTAAGAATAATTTAAATGCTAGGAAAAATTTTATTATTTATGATAATAATTGAATTCTTGCAACGAATTTTATTTCATTTTTTTAATAATAATTGAATTGATGTGAAAAATTGTATTGCTTATAAAAATTTAAAAAAAAAAAAAAATTTAAAAATTTAATTTAAATTAATTAATTAATTTAAATTTAAAAATTTTTTTGTAAATAATTTAATTTTTTTGTTTGGAAAATTTTATAAGAATTTAAATTATTATAAAAAATAGAAAATATTCTTAAAAATTATTGAATTTCAAAAGGTTTAAATTTGAATTTTTTCTTAATTCCTATGGAAAAATAATAATAATTAAATATTTTTATTGAAAAAAGAAGTTATTTAGGTTTTCGAATAATTTTACAATTAGAGAAATTCGTAATTAAATGTAATAGAACATTTTCTTGAGTATCTAATAATTTTTAGGGTGAATCAGAATATTCTTTAAGGGTTCAGGGAAAAAGTGAAAATCAGTCGCAGGAAAAAATCAGGAAAATCAGGGAAAAAGAAAATAAAATTTTTGTGGCAATCCTGTTAATCTAAATTATTAGGGAAATAATTTTCTGAAACTTGGAAAATAAATGCGGAAAAATGCATATAAATATATAGATTACTTGCACTACTGTTATACATTCCCTGGCAGTGTGTTGGATGAATGTTTGTGTTTACTTGAGAGGCAACGAACTGTGTGGTGCTCATGTGAAATCCTGAATTACCGTCTGTGGTCGTCCTGGAGGACATACGGATTTCATTGGAACGCCTTGTAGGAACACGTGCTTGGGACGGTTACGTGAGTTTCCCCCCAGTCGACATAAGGGTCGTCTAGCTGCAGTGCTGCGCTATAAAGTGGGCGGTTTCACTGTAGACATACACCGACCGGGAAAAGGATCCCAAAATATCGAGAGAGAGAGAGAGAGAGAGATCTCCTGAATTTCATTTTATATTTCAGGCGTCTTTTGTCTCTTGAGAGACTTTAGAAAGGCCTTTTTTACGATCATCTTGGAATATACCTGATTGGTCAAAGCAAAAAAAAAAAAAAAAAGAAAAAAAAAAGAAAATTGTTGCTGGCAAGACGTGGGTTCACTTAGTGTCAACCTCCCTCAAAATGCTGTCGAAAGTATTCCACAGTGGCTTAAAAGGTTTCTCCCCTATTGCACATTCACGTTCCATTTTATCAAGTGGATATTCCTATTTTCCGCACTTTCACAGAATTTTTCCAATTCTGATACTCTACCGCAAATATTGACTCTCCTTCGGAAATTATGACATTTTTTACCGGCAATTTTTTTTTTTTTCATTCGCGAAAATGATATTTACTCTTTGAAATTATAACCACAGAATATAGTTGAATCAATCTGTCGGAACATGACTCGATTTTTAAAAATTTATTGTCTAATGAGAATTATTATATTTTCCCCAATTTCCAAAAGTCAGATTTTTTTTCCTGACCAAAAAAAATATGAATATTTTGGTACAAATGAAAATTCCTTCCTGACATTTAATAATTTATTATTATGCAAATTACAAAATTTTTCATTTTCAAATATGAATTTGTGAATAATTTCTGATTTCAAATAAAAACTTTTAAAAAGTTCAATTATTAATTATTATTAACTAATTTACTAAATCAATTATTCTTGTTTATTAATTTTTGAAAAATTTTAATAAAATTCTTCGCAAAAATCCGAAAAAAAGAGTGAAAATTTTCTCTGAAAATCAGGGAAAAAATAAAATTTTTCCAGCAACCCTGTATAACGAATAGTGAAAAAGAAAAAAAAATCTAGATTAAACAGAAAAAAAGGCGAGGTAAATTAATTGTTTCAACGTTAAAGCGATACATTGAATCTAAAGAACTGCTGAAACGCTATGATAAAGCAAAATCAGCAAAGTGCGTTACACGAATGCAATCAGAGACTATTGTGCGCTGCCTAAAGTTCATCGTTCGCATGCAAATGTCAACCGTCAACGTACAGTGACCAATTGACGTTGATACCACAAGCATTCACTGGGCCGCAAAATTTTTGTTAACTAACACACACTCCCCTGCGCCTGATGAAATTCGCAAATCGTGCGTTCAAGTCTCGGTGAAATTTTTGGC